TTGGTTCCCGCCTTTTGCCGTGAGCTGCTGGGAGAGGCTCCGGCCACCTGTGACCCTGAACTGGAGTAAGTGGGTTGGAATTCTCCTACATGTTTATTAATCTTTCTTAACTGTATGTATGGATAGCCCAGATTTATCTCAGTGTTTAACATTTGCAGTGTTTGGGGTCTTTATTTAGAAGTTTAGTGATGTTTTTGTGACAAGAAGTATGCCATTGGAACTTAACTCTTGTATATATCAAGTAGCCTATAGCGAAATTGTTTTTGTCATGTCATTTTACTTAATGTTTCTTAGCGTTCCAAGACTATTAAAGTCACTAAGTGAGAAATTACTGTATCATTGTTTTGAGATTATTTTTCTTGCAGTTTCCCCATTAGACTGAGCTAGATGAGCACCTCACTTGCCACTGGACACAGCCCAGCTGACCCGAGGCAGACACGCAGCACACACTTGCTGACACTATGGCTGCATGAGTGACAGTTTCAGAGGGTGCCCAGCCTGCAAACTCCTCAGGAGGCAAAGCGGCCCCGTGGTCAAACACGAGTGGGACATACTCTGTTCTGCTTCCCCTTGGAGAGTCCTAATACACATTAGTGTAGGAAACTTAGGGGCTCCAATGAGAAAACAAAGAGTAAAAAAGAAAACCCAAACTGTAGAAAGTGAGTTTAATTTTCTTTAGCCTGTTTTCCAAACTTATTTGAATACAGCATCTTTTTTTCACCGGACATCTATGAACATCCTACGGAACGGACTTTGGGATGCGTCACTGGTGGCTTTCTGCCCAGGAAGCCTGAAACTCTCAAGATCGGCAGGCTTGGGGGGAGGGGCTGTGCGTTCTGCACTGAGCATCCTCACGGGTCCTGAGGTCGCCATGAACACAGTTACATACATGTGCAGTCGCCACCACCACAGCAAAGCGGGAGTGTGAGCAAATTGTAAAAAAAATTGGAGCTGGCCCGGGTTTATATTTTTTATTTTAAAAGACTGTATTTATCTTTAGAGAGAGAGGGGAAAGTTGGGAAAGAAGAAGAGAAACATCAGTTAATTGCCTCTCGTGCACCCTGCAACTGGTGATCTGACCCGCAACCCAGGCATGTGCCCTGGCTGGGAATTGAACTGGCGACCTTTTGGTTCACAGACCAGTAATTCACTGAGCCACACAGTGAAAAGGGAGGTAAAGATACGTAGAAACTTGGTGTTAGCAGATACAATCTTTGTAGGCATGACAGTGAGCCATTCATACATACTAACTTGTCTCTTGCTGAGACCTGAACCTGCAAGTGTTGGGAAGCTGGTGTGTAGATGTAGGTCTTTTAGCTGGTTGGTGAGCCCAGCTCCTGCTCAGTGTTTGCATCTCAAGGCAGTTCTTTTGTTTTCTGTATCCAAGGGAACACTTTTGAATCTTCCAAGATACCTAAGTGAACTTAATGGGAGGAGATTGCATGTAACACTAACATTAGTGAAGATTTGAGGACATAACCCTTTTGCATATATAGGGTGTTCTTTGTAGGTACAATTCCTGAGGTGGGACTGTATTAAAGGCAGTGATCCGAAATTGCTTTTGGCCAGCCCCTACTTAGGCAGGGCGAAACTGCCTGACCTACCAACTTGGTCTGGTCTCATTTTCCAGTGGAAAAGTAAATCAGTGATAATTTGCGGGCGGTAGATTATGTATACCTTTGCTTTAGCACTGGAGTATGGATAATTCATATCTGAACCACAATGTATACATGTCTTAGAGTTCCAGTTATTGGAAAATTATAGCCTCAGGATACTGCTGATGCAAATAAGCTTCAATATACTCTGTAGGGTTAACCAAGCAACCCACAACAAAATACATTGATAATGATAAAGCTAAGCTAACAGCATTTCCTAATTAAAAAGTACCCAGAGTAGCAAATGCAAATTGTAACCAACTCGGGCATCTCTGATGATGTGCTGGTAGAGTCCTTCTCCCAGATTTTGGAAATGTCAGGTCTGTGCCTGCACACATGGAATCGGGGCCTTCTGACCACACAGAGCACCCACATCTGGCTGCTGGGCTTGTACCAGAACACTGCAGGGTGCTTCGGTGAGTGCAGATGTGCTCACCTAACTGATGTACAAATGAAAGCTCAATCCAACTGCACACCACTCAACATAATAGTCCAAAGGAGGACTTGAAAAAAAGTTTCAGTTCAACACACACAGGAATGGCCCTGATAACACTGCCCTGAGAGTTACTTTGCACCCCAGCAGGTCTCGGGCTCTGACTCTGAAATCACCTTCTAGGCAGCATTACCACCCTTGGCTGAGGCTCTCACTTCCAGCTCAAGCAGACCAGAGATGGGCCTTCGAATTTACAAAGTGCTCAGATTCTCATTTTTAAAATGTGAAAGGTTTTAATACTCAGTGTAAAGAAATCTCCAAGATATAACATTAAGTGAAAAAAGCAATGTGCCGGCCAGTAAAAATGCTACTTATGCAAAAACCAAAACAACAACAACAAAAAAGAATAATTTTATATGTGTGTTGATGCTTTTTATGGCTGGATTATCTCTGCAAGTGACTATAAGAAATGGATCAAAATAGTTGCCTCTGGGGAGAGGTATTGGCTGCTGAGGGAGAGGAGGGAGAAAAATTTGGTTTTTACTCAAGATGCTCATTCATGCTTCTTGAATTTTGTACCATTTACGTATTAACTAGTAAAAATATCAATTAATTTAAATTTAGTAAAGAAAAAAAGTGAGCCTATACAGACTTGATTTTTGTCTTTTCTCTTTTATTTTTATTTTCTTTATTGATTTTAGAGAAAGGGGAAGAAAAACATCAATTTGTTGTTCCCCTTATTTGTGCATTGACTGGATGCTCCTCCTATGTGCTCTGACTGGAGATCGAACCTGCAACCCTGGTATATGGGGATGATGCTCTAACCGACTGAGCTACCTGGTCAGGGGTATTTTTTTTTCTTTTAAGTGGTGAGGGTTAAATTTGGTTTATTTATTGTTCCGATGCCTTTTCCCCCTCCACAGCATGGCTGAGTAACTGGGCAGGGGAAGCTAAAGGAAAACCTCTAAACCAGAAGACAGAGTGATAAAAGCAGGCCCGGGCCCAGGGATCCTGGACTGAGGCTAAGGCCTCAGTCCTGAAACACAGCGTTCTGATAAATTAGACCTGTTATTAGACTTCCCAAGTGTTCTGAGGTGTTTTCATACCGTGTATATGTAAAATGCAAAAGGGGTGTGCTCTTTGGTTTGCACGCCCATACTGAATCCACGGAGCTAAAAAGGAGTGCTCTTAATAAGAGTGCTTGTTACACTGTACCTTTGAGAAAAGGAAAAAAAAGGGACAAAAGCAGAGAGGAAATTAGTATAGGAAAACATGTTTAAGTGTGTGCATGGCTCTTCTCTCATCCCGCCTCAGTATTGCTCAAGGAGGCAAAGCAATGACATATTTTGACGTGCTACTGGGAATTTAAAAGAGAGTAAATATTACACTATTTAGTGTTTCCTAATGAAAAACATAATGTTTCATTAACTATGTAAAAAATAATTGTATCCTCTTCCATAAGTTAACATAAGAGTCCATTGTCTTTATATCTTAAGTGCTTATTATGCTGAGTAACAATTCTTTCTTAGAGCAAAATTTCCAAAGAAATACATAGTATCTCTAAATTTCATGGGTTCTGAGTAAGAAGGAAATGTTTAGAAGCTGGAAGGAAACGTTTTGGACAATATGGGAGGCCTAACTCTCAGTGGTGCAAACAGAGATCAAAATGAATTCCTCAGACTAGAAGTGGGCCTACAGTGGTGATGAATTCGACACAGACTTCTGGAGGCAGGTACACAGGCTGTGTCCATCTGGCATATTTGGGAAGGTTCTATAATGAAGATCCATCAGTAGGAGTTATTAATTATCCGGAGACCCTGGTCAGTTTACAAAGACTGTGAACCCCACAGCCGTGTCCCTCTGTCTGAGGGCATTTCCTTATTGTTAAGTGTGCAAATCTTTTCCCCATGCATCTTGTCCTCCTAGTCACCCTGACTTGAGCCCCTTTCCTATTTGCACGGGGCCCGCAGCCTGGGACAACTGGAGCCTTGTATTTCCAAGCTGGGTTCGCAAAGCAGGGCTACAAGTCGCCACAAGCCCACAAGTAGCCCACGCAAGGAAACCACTCAGCTTGGGTCTGAAAGACTTACATTTCTCCTCGCCTGAATTAGCCGGTAATTGCATGTGGGCAGACTTAGCCAGAAACGGTCTAAATGATCAATTAGAAGGCAAAAAGGGGTTTATTTCTTTAAAGTTCAAGGGTCTCTGGTGAAGAGCCCTACTTCCCAAGCCAGGCTCACTCACGTGGGCCTCTGCCCAGCTGTCTGTGGTGCTGGAGTATATTGTACATTTGCCTAATGATAATGAATTGAGTGCTTATTTTGCAGGAAAATATAGGGCACTTCCATTACATGCAATCAGGCAAAAAAAGCTGTAAAATGTGCCACTCCATTAATTTTAAAAGAATCCTTCCCAAATGTCACCCTGAAACCAGAGCATGGGGTTATTATGAATCTGAAGGAATTAAGAGTAATTTTCATTTGTACAAAGGAGTTGAGGGACATGACTCCTGACACCCCCACACACACACACACACACACACACACACACACACACACACACACACTTAACTGGGTTAAATTTGACTTGCCAATTTTAGTGGGACTCACTAAGCCCTGATCTGGCCTGCATGGTGGTAAGGTCAGGGGGCTCCTGTCTTTTTTGTGGGTGCAGGTACACACACAGACAACTATAGGACGTGCAAAGAATGTGACGTAATTGGCTTGTTATTAACAAACATGTTGTTCAAAGAGGAACAACAAATGCCACCTCCTGGCAAGTTACTCTACCTCTCTGATCCTCACCTGTAAAAGGGGAGCATAACCCCTGAGTCCAGGGACGTCCCGAGGACGAATGAGTCTGAGTACATCAGAGCACTGAGCACGGCATCTGGCACATAGTTTACACCCATGAAACGGTAACTGTTATCTTTATTTTCATCTTCTGTGGGGATCTCTTGGGCCTAGGCCGGTTCTCAAATCACACTGAGGGAGATCTGGACCCAGCACCAGGACTGGGACAATCTTTCTAGGCCTTTGCTGGGTGAGACCAAAGGGCCTGGGAGGTGTGGGTCAGCCCACTGAGTTACCGATCACTTCCTTTCTAATTCGGTTCCCACCACCTCTGGGACTTGTGGGACAGCACAGAGCAGAAAACAGGGATGAACGGGTCAAGGTGGTTTGGAGGACAGTCCCGTCTGCCCCTCACTCCACGTTCCGGTACTTGGTGAAAAGGTTGTACAACACCCGCAGTGTGGATTTCAGGTCACAGTTGACGATGTCTGTATAGAAAACAAAAAATATGCCATGCTTCAGTGGGGCCACGTGGCCTAAGATTGGCATCTTTTGGCCTCTTCCATCCACCATCCACTTTGTGTGCCTGGCATGGTGCTGCGTGGGTGTCCCCCTCAGCCACAGAACATCCTCTGTGCCCAAGAAGAGCTCCCTGAGCTACTGAGAAAGAGGAGCATCCCCCATAGGATGACCAAAGGCTAGCTGGTGTTGGAAGGCGGATGTTGAAGCGAGTGGTGAGAATCCAGAGCAGGGGAACAGTAAGAAGCAGAGGTGCTGGGCGTGGAGTATCACTGCTCAGTAAAATGAAGCAGACCCCAGGCGGGTACAGCCTTCACCCTGGAAACAGCACCTCCCAGCAACAGGCCCTCACTTTGCCCTAAGTCTCAGGCTCCGGGACCCCTTCACCACAGGTCCAGCCCTGAGTGGTGGGAAGGAGGGCAGGGCCTGAGGCTGCAGTGGGGTGAGGTGGTCATTGGGACTACTTGGAGGGCCCTGGAGGACACAGAAGCCCACTTGGCAGACAGTACGCAGTAAGCCTGTGTCCTTAGGGGACAGAGTGTTTCGCATTAAGGATAGAGAGCAAGGCAGTTGGGTCTGAGGCTGGGAGTTGGACAATATTTTCAGGCGAGTTCCACCATGGGTTCCCAAGCTTTTATACAACTATTTCTTATGTGCCCTCCTTTCCCCCCTTCCTTTTATTTAGTGGTCATCTTATTCTCCGGATGTCCTTCTTAACCTCTGCCAGCCCCTCCACCACCTCCCCCCACACCCTCCAAGGCCCCTCTGCTCAGGTCCTGCACTCACTCCCTTGTGGGCCTTCTTCTGAACGACCAGAGTAGAGAAAATATACATGAAAAAGGAACTCAGCCTGCTATTCAGGAATGCACACTAAGGTAATAAAATTGTAAGAAAAGGAAAAAAATTTAAAAAGACGAAAGCCTACAAAAGCCAGCAGAGTGCCTATCTTCAGGAAGGAAGGAGAGAATCATGTTCTTAAAAAGCAGGTGGGAGGGAACCCTCGGGACCTGGGATGACTCTTGCGTGGTGGCTCATGGGCTAATATTTCATTAACCCGAATATTTATATTTGATGCATCTTTCTTTCTGTAGATGTGATATTATTCGCAGTAAAAATGATTAAAAAGATATCTAACAGTGCAGAAAGGTAAATGATAAAAGAAAACACATGCTTTGGGATTCAAAGGTGAGAGAGATGGGGCTGAGCCGCTGGGAAAAGGGGGTGGGGAAAACTTCAGCATTTGGTGACACCCTTGTCTAGGGACACGGACCCCTCAGACCAGGCAGAACAGAGTCTAGTGGCTCCGTCAGGCTGAGCGGTGGCTCCCAGGTCCTGCAGTGATGACCACCACAGGGCTACATGCTAAGGGCCCAAGGCTGGGGACTCTCCTCGGGGCTTCTCCCGCCCTTAGGTCCCCTCCTGTATGCCTCTCCCAGGCCTTAACCCAGCTGCAGGCTGACCTTCTTCCACCACAGATGGGCTTGGACTCAGCTCCAAGTTCTGTTGACAGAGCAGAGGCGCCCAGGGAGCACCTGAAAGGCCTGGTACTCAGTTTCCCTTTCTGCTCCCACCTTGGTTCCTGCCTGTGTCTGAGCCACCACCTGGGCCCACCCAGTGGCCGAGCCCAGCTCTTGTTGAGTCACTCCTACACCCTGGGGGCTGATTCTTCTCCTCCCCGACGGGCATGTTGTTTCTTAAATTCCCCTCAAATCAAAGATTAGGAAGTTACCCCGGGTAGAAACTGCTAGAAAGCCAGAGAGGAGAAAAAGTGAGCTCATTAAGGGAGTGAGGGTGAGTGAAGTGAAGGTGGATGGTACTGGGGCCACGGCAACAGGCTGCGAACTGGGCTCCTCAGAGCCTCTTGCCCTCTCCCGCCCACTCTACCCAGCGTAGCTGGGCTGTTCCGCCTCTGGGTATGGTTCTGTTTCCAGGGAATTAAAGGTTATGAAGCCTGGGCAGCAAAAGTCATCTGGGATGCAAACCCAAAGTTTCCAGGGGATTTCAAGGTACAATAGAGCTTTTTGAGTATCAAACAGCATGGCAGAGAGTGTGTTTTCCTGACCTTAAAACCATTTTGCCCTAAAAAAAATACTTCGACCACAGCCAATTCAATTTTGAAACTCCCTCAAAGAATTACCACATTGGCACGTTTAATGAAGTCTGTAGCATTTACTGCTGAACCTCCCTTTCCAGGGAGAAGTACAAGAACCGGAGGGAGCGCTAGGGCACACCTCTCCCAAAGCACAGTTTCATAAAACACCATTTCAGCTCTCTTTACGCACTGGAAATTTTCAGCTCGGGCATGATGCCCGGTGTAACAACAAATAAAACAGATGTGTTTTTCCATTCCCATTGGTCAGGAAGTTTCATATTAAGCAGCTCAATAATCGTATGAGAAATGTCATCAATATGCTATAATATCCCTATCGATTAGTTGACATTGGGAAACTGTGCTGGGGGAAATAAATGCGTGAAAAACTGAAGAATCAGAAGGAATACTTCCAATCTGTAACCAGGACGTTTCATAGGAAGCAGCTCAAGACAATAGGTAGAAATGCTGGCTGGAGGTCTCCCACTACCCTCTGCTACCCGGATGTGCGGTGCTCACCATCTGGCCAGAGGACATGCAGGGTCCATTCCTAATGGCATTAGGATGCTAGAGTGGCCTTGCCAGGAAGAGAAACCCTAAAGGGGCACCAACCTTGCTAGAGGTCGTCCTTTAACAAGGTGACCAGACATTGAAAACAGGGCGACAATAAGTGAGAATAAATGATAGCACTGAGGTCTGGAATGAGGCATGGAATGGGGTCCCAATCAACATTTCGCAGTCCACCTCTCTCCTTTGGGCTGCCTGCTTTCTCTCCAGCTTCATAGGCAAAGGAATTCTCACAAGATATTGTCCTTAGCCCTTTTCTTTTCTTGACATGCTCTCCTGGTGTTCTACACTGTGGGCAAGTTGGCTTCCAACAAGTGGAAGACTTCCCATTATATAATCACGCTCCTGGTTTCTCCCCCAACTCTAGTTCTGCTCTGTCAGTGCCTAGGTGTCAACGTCAAGGTTTCCAAAGCTGACATCCCCGTGTCCCTCCCAAGCCTGTTTTCCCTCCTGGGCTCCCCAGTGCTGTGGATGGTGCCCCACACCTAAACATCTGTTCTTTACACAGCCTTCTAAATGCTCTCTCCGGAACAGAGCTCTGATCGGACCACATACCTGCTCAAGCACCATTTCTAGACACCCGCTGCCTACAGAATAAAGTCCAGATTTTCTGCCTTGGCCTCAGGTCCCTTTGGAACCTAACACCAGCTTACTTCATCCTCATCAATGATTACTCAATTCATACTCTTAATAAAATGTAACTGCTCACATTCATTATGAGGTTCCAGGTGCTGTGCCTGCATAATCAGGTGATTTATCAGGCATAATCACATGTAATCCTGTAATGTTCATGTCTCTAGGAGTTCCATTTCTATAGCCATGGAAAATAGGCTCAGGGGGGTAAGCTGGCCAAGGTCACGCAGCTGGTGGGTCAGGGACCAGACCCAAGGCTGGCATGGGCTTGGCTACATGCTCTGCTGTCTCAGTAACTGAGCCACTCTCTGTTCCCCAGGAAGGACTTTTGCTTGCAGCAGCATCCTGTCTGGGATACCCACTGCTCTATCCTCTCTAAAAATAATTTAAAAAAACCATTTAATTACAGCTGACACACAATATTTTATTAGTTTTAATTGAACAGAAGAGTGGTTAGACATTTATATAATTTACTGAGTGATCCCCCCGATAAGTCTACATGGCACTATACATCGTTAATTACATTATTGACTATGTTCCCTATGCTGTGTTTTCCATCCTCATGACTATTATAATTACCAACTTTTACTGCTTTATCTCTTCACCTGTTTCACCCAGGCCCTCAAACCCCTCCCACCTGGCAGCCATCAGTCTGTTCTCTGCATCTATGAGTCTGTTTCTGTTTGGTTTGTTTACTTTGTTCTTTAGATGCCACATGTAAGTGAAATCATATGGCATTTGTCTTTCTCTGTCTGACTTATTCCAGTTAGCATCCATATTGCTGCAGGTGGTAATAATTCATTCTTTTTTTTTCCTGGCCAAATAAATAAATCTCTCACATCATCTTCATTCAATCACTTTATTGACAGGCACTTAGGTTACTTCCGTATCTTGGCTGTTATAAATAATGCTGCAATAAACATAGAGGTGTATATATGTTTTTGAATTAGTGTTTTAGATATTGTATAAAAACCCAGAAGTAGAATTACGGGGTCGTAAGGTATTACTGTTTTGAAGTTTTTGAGGATCCCCCATACTGTTTTCCACAGTGCCTGCACCAATTTGCGGTCCCATCAACATTGCACGAAGGTTCACTTTTCTCCACATCTTCATCAACTCTTGTTTTTCATTTATTGATGAAAGCTGTTTTGATTGTCATGAGGTGATATCTCATTGTGGCTTTAATTTGCACTTCCCTGATGATTAGTGATGTTGACCATCTTTTCACATGTCTGTATGTTTTCTTCAGAGAAATGTCTGTTCAGGTCCTCTGTCCATTTTTAAATCAAACTGTGGTTTTTTTTGTGTTTGTTTTTTTGGTATTGAGTTGTATGAATTCCTCATTTGGATGTTAACCCCTTATTGGATGTATTATTGGTGAATATCTTCTCCTATTCAGTAGGTTTTTTCATTTTGTTAATGGTTCCTTTTACTATGAAAAAACTATTTAGTTTGATGGAATCCTATTTATTTTTTCTTTTGTTTTGCTTGCCTGAGAAAACATATAAAAAAATTGCTAAGAGTACACTGCCTATGTTTTCCTCTAGGAGATTTATGGTTTGGGGTCTTACATTTAAGTCCTTAATCCATTTTGAGTTTATTCTTGTATATGGTGTAAAATACGGGTTGTTTTTTTTTTGCATGTATCTGTCCAGTTTTCCCAGCACCATTTATTGAAGA